CAACCCTCAGTTTGTTTCCTGAGATTAAGAATTCCTCATATCAGTGAGGTCATATGATACATGTCTTTCTCTGATTAACTTATTTCGCTCAGCATAATACCCTCCAGTTCCATCCATGTCATTGCAAATGGCAAGATTTCATTCCTTTTGATGACTGCATAATATTCCATTGTATATATATATCACATCTTCTTTATCCATTCATCTGTTGATGGACATATTGGCTCTTTCCATAGTTTGGCTATTGTGGACATTGTTGCTATAAACATCGGGGTGCACATACCCCTTCGGATCCCTACATTTGTATCTTTGGGGTAAATACCCAATAGTGCAATTGCTGGATCGTATGGTAGCTCTATTTTCAACTTTTTGAAGAACCTCCATACTGTTTTCCAGAGTGGCTGCACCAGCTTGCATTCCCACCAAGAGTGTAGGAGGGGTCCCCTTTGCATCCCCGCCAACATCTGTCATTTCCTTACTTGTTAATTTTAGCCATTCTGACTGGTGTGAGGTGGTATCTCATTGAGGTTTTGATTTGGATTTCCCTGATGCCGAGCGATGTGGAGCACTTTTTCATGTGTCTGTTGGCCATTTGGATGTCTTCTTTGGAAAAATGTCTGTTCATGTCTTCTGCCCATTTCTTGATTGGATCATTTGTTCTTTGGGTGTTGAGTTTAGTAAGTTCTTTATAGATTTTGGATACTAGCCCTTTATCTGATATGTCATTTACAAATATCTTCTCCCATTCTGTCAGTTGTCTTTGGTTTTGTTGACTGTTTCTTTTGCTGTGCAAAAGCTTTTTATCTTGATGAAGTCCCAATAGTTCATTTTTGCCCTTGCTTCCCTTGCCTTTGGCGATGTTTCTAGGAAGAAGTTGCTGTAGCTGAGGTCGAAGAGGTTGCTGCCTGTGTTCTCCTTTAGGATTTTGATGGACTCCTATCTCACATTTAGGTCTTTCAACCATTTTGAGTCTGTTTTTGTGTGTGGTGTAAGGAAATGGTCCAGTTTCATTCTTCTGCATGTGGCTGTCCAATTTTCCCAACACCATTTGTTGAAGAGACTGTCTTTTTTCCATTGGACATTCTTTCCTGCTTTGTCAAAGATGAGTTGACCATAGAGTTGAGGGTCCATTTCTGGGCTCTCTATTCTGTTCCATTGATCTATGTGTCTGTTTTTGTGCCATTACCATACTGTCTTGATGATTACAGCTTTGTAGTAGAGCTTGAAGTCCGGAATTGTGATGCCACCAGCTTTGCTTTTCTTTTTCAACATTCCTCTGGCTATTCGGGGTCTTTTGTGGTGCCATACAAATTTTAGGATTATTCGTTCCATTTCTTTGAAAAAAGTGGATGGTATTTTGATGGGGATTGCATTGAATGTGTAGATTGCTCTAGGTAGCATTGACATCTTCACAATATTTGTTCTTCCAATCCATGAGCATGGAATGTTTTTCCATTTCTTTATGTCTTCCTCAATTTCTTTCATGAGAATTTTATAGTTTTCTGAGTACAGATTCTTTGCCTCTTTGGTTGGGTCAGTTCATTGTTAATTGTAAAGAGTAGTAAAAAGAACTGATTAGGAATGTTGTCCCTGGATTTATAACCCAGCTTTACAACTCACTAATTGTTTGAACTTAAGCAACGTACGCCCACTAAGCCTCAGTTTCCTTTTTTATAAAATAGGGATAAAATGCCTTCCTCAGAGTGTTGTTGTGAGGACTCCATGAGTACAGACCTTAGCACATTATTCTCAGTTTTTATCAGTTCATTATTATGTGTTGTGATGGTAATTTGCTTTGACATATGGACATAATAGTAGTATACACTCTTAACCACCATGCTTTGGTGTCCAGTTCTTCCTTTCTTTCTACTTCACCTGTCTGCCCCCAACCCCCGCTAGTACCTCTACACACCCCATCCTTTTTCAGTTTCCTGTTTAGGGTTACAGATGCAGAGTCTTCTGTTCAGATCTATTGCCTGTGACTTGTAATCTATAGGGACGGGAAGTATCTTGAGCCAGTGTATGTAAAGGCATTCAAATAACCATGTGTTTTACTTGTAAGCCAAGATTTTCATAGAGGGCCCTTCAGTGAATATAGTCTGAAGAAGAATTACAAAAAAAAAAAAAAAAAAGACCTTACCGCACCATCACTTAGAGATTTAACAATATCTAACCAACTCTAAATGGTTACTGGTCATGGAGGATTGAGAAATAAAATTAGATGAACATATGAGCAATCTGGAACCCTCACTATTAGGCTGTCTGTGTTGTGTTAAGGTTCCTAGTACATGCCTTTGGTAGCGCATGCCCGTAACTACTTGGACATGACTTGTCTCTTCATACCCGAAGCTAGGTGTAGGGTCCCTGGAATCCATGTGTGTTATTCCTGCTCAGCTGTCTGACACTTTCATGCATGAGGGAAGGAATGGTGTTTCCCCAGTGCTGAAGCTCATCAAGCTGGACTTCTCAGGGGAGACATTTCAAGTGGTGATTGCCTCACTGAAAAGTAAATGCTAAGTTCGCCATAGAAAGAGTCTCTGAGATGTGAGGCAGAAGCAGCAGGTACAGGATGGTGATAGTCCTCTTCGTCGGAGAGGCTCCTGGGGAGGTCTTTCTGCCTGGCCGTCCTTCCAGCTGACCCTTTCATAGTAGGGCTTTTCCCAGGACTTCACTACCAGTTTGTGCTGCTCTGAGGGCTCCCAGAGTGCCTCTCTCGGTGTTCAGGAATCTTCCAGCAGGAGAGTGCGCTGGAGCAGAGGAACACCCCTGATGGCCACGAGCCCAAGTCAGCATTTCCAGATTTCACAGCACTGTTTCCTACTCTGAGGAAGTGCAGAACCACTGGGCACGATGACTGTTCCATACACTATTTCCCAGATAGAATTTCAAAGGTTCTTGTGGGTAAGGGTAGGACGTGGTGTAGAGAGAACCTGAAGTTATTAGCCCTGTTGGTAGGTAATTAATGCCTGCAGGCAGCTTGTCCTCCCAGGATACCTCAAAGGGAAGCTGTGGCCAGGTGGCCCTGGCGGGAATAGTCACCCACTGGCCGTGAGGCCACACACACACCTGAGCTGTAGAGACACTGACCCCCGAAGGAAGGAACCAGGCCACTGCCAGGTCCTCTGGTCTCTAGCAACAGGAAGGACCTCACACTCTGCTACGAGCCATGGCAAAATGAATTTCCGTTTTAAGGCCTTTGGAGTGCCCAGAAATGGTTGCAGTGAGCAAAAACCAGGAGAATGGGAGGAATAAGTGAGCAGCCTATGAGCCACAGATCCTTTGCAGCATTCAAAACTAAGACCCCAGGTGACACCCAGAAAAATCTCTGTGAAGTAATTCATAGGAAGTCTGCACCTCCAGGTTTAGCTGTTAGTAACTGACTCTCTGGACTACTAAGTCACATATTTTCCTCTTTACAGGATTAATTATCCTTTTAAACATTGGTTAAGTCATAAGGGTATTGTAATAAAGACCAGCGTTTTTACAAGCGCAGTCTCTCTTGTCCATATTCAGCTAATGGATTTAATGGCTGTTCAGGCGGAATCAGTGGACGGTAACACACGTGCCCGTCCTGTCCTTCCACCACACCTTGACTCCTCCAGCCTCTCGTTGCCACTGTAGCCAGAGTACGTGGCCTACCATGCAGACCTTATCATGACACTTCATTGTGTGAAGTCCTGGGGCCTTCCTGTTTCCCCCACTATCTGAAAGTCGAGCGTTCCCGTGAAACCTTTTATAAGTTGAAACGGCATAAAGGAAAAAGGCCATCACCTTTAACCTATATGGTGAAAATTTTTCGAGTGTTCCCAAGCCCCAAAAATAAGCTCTCATAGGCTTTTCTGATATCTTAGGACACAGCTCACTAGTGTGTGCACACAGTAAATTCAGGTAAAGCACGGACGCTTGCAGACACAGTTCAAAGCTCTGGTGGCTGGATGTGGAATGGAGTTCCGGCGGGGGAGGTGCTCCGGGTGCAACACGCAGCCTCTCTACCTGCCCACTGCCAAACAAACACTGAACACTACTTTCACTTTTAGCCTTTATTCATAAAAGCAAAGATCTCTTTGGGTTTCTTTCATTTGGTGGAAACAGGTGCTAACATAGGTATTTCGTAAAACAAAGCAGCAGAACACAGACTTTGGAAAAGCAGGGGTTACGTGTGTGTGTGTGTGTGTATCATGGGCAGGGGTTACCTGTGTGTGTATGTGTATATATCATGGGCGGGTCTAGATCAGTATCCAGTTACGTGTGTGTGTGTGTGTGTCATATTGGTTACGTGTGTGTGTGTGTGTGTGTGTATATCATGGGCAGGTCTAGATCAGTATCCAGTTACGTGTGTGTGTGTATCACGGGCAGGTCTAGATCAGTATCCGGTAAGGGTCTTAGTAATGTCTTCACAGAGGCTCTGTCTCCATGCAGCTGCTTGCTCTCACCTGAAGTATGAGATTATCACCTGCCCACTGAATCAACATGCTCTCCTGCTACACAGAGCCTATTCGTACAAATGTTACCAGGGTTCTGGTCACTTTTCATCTGCTACATTGAGAAGCTTATCTGATTCATCTTTGGATGCATTCAACAAACCTCTCACATCTGCCTACCATGTGGGTGCATGGAAACGGCGAATGTGTGGTGAACGGATGGTCACTAGTCACTCAGTGATTATGTCCTTGTCCTCAGCAGTCATCTCTCCAGTGCCCATCCCAACCTCCATGTACACAACGTGGCTGGCACGTCCTTTTAGTGACTCACGGGTGATCTCCCACACAAGGCTCTCCCTAGATGGGGATGGGTTTCTTTCCATCAGATGCCTCTTAGTTCACTCCCGTACACCATGAAGGTCCCTGCCTTGAGAGAGCCATGCTCTGGAGGGAGCCTTGGGACTAGCCTGCAGGGCCAGGGACGGGAGCTGTTTTCAAAGCACTGCAGCTTGCTGGTGTCACGTTTGTGTTGGAAGAGGAAAATGTTTTCTAATAAAACGTTTTTGTCTTATCTTTTAGCTTACATTTTACTATGGAACTATAGATGCTTGGTGTCCAATGGAATACTATGAAGACATAAAGAAAGATTTTCCAGAAGGAGATTTTCGACTCTGTGAGAAAAAAATACCTCATGCTTTTATCCTCCATTTTCCCCAGGAAATGGCTGGCATGGTAGCTGACTGGCTAAAGGATGATCTGTCCAAAATATAAGTACTGACCCGGAAACATCACTGACAGCTAATACATAGCAGCAGTGCTGTGCCTTCTCTTAGTAGTTAGTAGTATGCTTAGTAGGCAAGTGTTCATTGTTAATGTTTGATATTAGAAGAGGAAAACAAAAAAGAACCTCTTGGCTTACTATCAGCTCCCAGCTAGCTCCCCATACTACCGGCTGAAGTAAACACAATTGATGAAATACACCATAGGTTTAACAGCACATTTTCCAAGGCTCAGGGAACACAGTGATCAGTGACCTAAACAAGACCCCTTCCTTATGTTTGTGTGAGATATGCCAGTGGCACCAGGCAGTTGATATTAGTAGGCAGAATGCTTGCAGACAAAAGGAAGTCTAAATATAGCTGATTTTAATCCAGTTACCATGTACAGTAGGCTCTCCTAAAAGAAATTATGAAACACCTACTAGAAAATGTGAAGTGTAGAGTCAGATATGTAAGTGTATGAGATCATGAGGACACACAGTCCAGTAGCAGGAAGTGACGAGTGGTGGATCTTGGAAGTGGACCTGGGTCTCCCTTAAAGACAGAAGCTGAAGATCAGCCCGGACTAACTTTGTACAGGTCTTGGCTGAGGGCATCGGAATCAGGCTGGATACCAGCACGGCCTCCGTCCCCTCCCCGCTCCCCCTCCCACCCTGTTCCCACCTTACAGCATGTCATGAACCACAAGCAGAGCCGACATCAGGGCGGGAGGCACCACTTGTCTGCATCTCCGAGAAGGTCCCCCGAGGAGTGAGACTTCCTGATCTTCCTGCATTAGACAGAGAATAAAGTTCACCAGACATTCCTTTGGCAAAGGAACCCGGTAAGAGTTGTTGAAGGATCCTTACTGTGCCTCCTGCCACAAGACAACCAGCAAGCTCTGTGCTGAGCCCTAGGCTGCCAGGTTGTGTGCTCCCTGCAGGCTCCTCTTCTGCAGGGCCAGGATGTGGAGGCCCCGGGTGTCCCAAAGCCAGCCTGTACCTGTCTCCTGGAGTTGCCTCTGCTGTGATTTTTCCAAGAAAACTACATTGAGGACAAGCTATGAGCCAAATACTATGCTAGGCATCAAGGACCAAGTTCTTAGCTATGTCATGATTTTTTCTTCTGAAAATCTTCCAGTAAGTAATTTTTGAGAGGGCATCTTTCAGTCGCTGAATAGAGAATTACCATAAATGAGTTCTACATTTCTGCCTTGGTTTTGTTAGTTGGAAAGAAATTGTTTGACTACTGAACCAAAGCAAGCCATAATGAATTATGTGACTTCACCTTCTCTGGATGCCTTGAGGTCCAGTAGAGAAGAAGCTTGTTCTCCAGCCTAGAGTAGGCTCACAGTATTTTTGCCTTCCCTAAAATGACTCAATCCTGGGACCCTAGGGGCCAATAATTCCCCCTGACAGCAGTGCTAGTTGACAATTGATCAGAAACATTTCAGTTTTCTCCTAGAGGAGACCCCTCATGGTGTTACCATTCCTTAAGAACAATAGAATGTTGTCCTTCCTTTCAAAGCCTAAAGCCCCGATGAAAGATCCTGCTCTGATATGCTGCCAACCCAGTGGTGAGTGTTGAACAAGTTACTGTCCCTTGGCATGGCTTCTGCATCCAAGCAAATGACTTCTCAGAGGGGAAGAGCCAAACCCCAGGCCAGGAGCGCTCTTGGCCCTGGAGAGAAGCCAGGAGACACACATTGGCATAGGGCTGTACACAAAATCCTGATCGGCCTCTGTGTGGGGAGGCCTTCTGGAAATCTGATGTTAGAAGCTTAGGATTCATGGCTCTGGAGTGCCTTGTGTATAGGAGATGCTCAGTACTGACTTGAAGCACTCGAGCAAGTCCTGGGTGAATCACACCTACTCAAAGGATAACACCACCCCAGCGTTTCTTTCTGCGTTATTTTATTTTACTCCATATTTCACAAGTCCACATGTATGACATTGTGTCTTATTTTAGTTTTTCAGAGCTTAAAAAAATGATGTAAAAGATATGGGCTTGTTTTCTGTTTATCATCTGATCACCAAATAAATTTGCAAAATAAATGTTTTACCAGCATTTATGATTGCCTGGCCTGATTTCTGTGTTGGGGGAGGAAGGTATAATCTCAGCAGTCCTCCTGAGTTAGATTCAGGCCAAAGTCCCTCTGTTAAACTGAAAAGCCATTTTCTCAGTACTTCTTTTAGAGAAGGAAGATTCCGATTTTAGGAGATTGAAGTTCATTTTATTTCATTAGGAATTAAAACACTAAATGTTCTCATGCATATGTATGAGGTAATGATACGGTATAAGAATTCTGGAGGCCTCATCATCTGATTTTTAGGCAACTTTCTCTAATTTTCCATGCCTCAGTGTCCTCACTTATAAGATAGGATTAATAACAAAGCATACCTCATATTGTTGGAAGAATTAAGTGGGATGATAAAATTAAAGCATTTAGTGCAATTCTTGGCTGAGAGTATCTTCTCAATAAAGATTGGCTATAATAATTATTATCATTATTGAACATCATCACCATAAAAAAGACTAAAATTGATAAGCAGTGGATGAAATTCATTTTCCAGAGGCATTTCTGCCTGTAGGTACCAGTCAGTCACACAGATTGTCTTTGTCAACGATTTAGCTTTATTTTTTTTAAAATAATTTTTTATTGTTATGTTAGTCACCATACATTACATCATTAGTTTTTGATGTAGTGTTCCATGATTCATTGTTTGTGCATAACACCCAGTGCTCCACGCAGAACGTGCCCCCCTCAACACCCATCACCAGGTTAACCCATCCCCCCACCACCCTCCCCTCTAGAACCCTCAGTCTGTTTTTCAGAGTCCATCGTCTCTAATGGTTCGTCTCCCCTTCCGACTTACCCGTCTTCATTCTTCCCCTCCTGCTATCTTCTTCTTCTTCTTTTTTTTTCTCCCAGAAAGTGGTCGCTTTTCTGTTCAGAGTGTTGTTGCTACTCTCCTCTTCGATCTCCTGTTGAGTTTGTAGGTGTTCAGAATGGTTTGATCCCTATTCAGCTGAATTCCTGAGACCAGATGAAATCCAGGTCTCCTACTCCTCCACCATCTTTCTCCGCCCCCCACGATTTAGCTTTATAAGGGTTTATCTAGTGCTGAGTGAAAAGTCTAAGCTAGAGTCATACCCAGCGCCTACAGCTTGTTCTCAGGCTGCCCCGGGCCAGGGGACAGAGAGGATCTCCAGAGACAGCTCCCATGGCCCTCTGGACTCATGTCCGAGGTGGCTAGGGACCTCTCACCGTCCACTTCTCCACCCAACCCTTGGAGAGTCAGGGACCTCCAAAGGCTTGATTTCTCTTCACCCTACATTATATTAAAGTTAATTCCATAATTTTTAAAAGATTTATTCATTTATTTGAGAGACAGCTGGCGCAAGTGGGGGGAAGGGCAGAGGGAGAGAATCTTCAAATAGACTCCCCACTGAGGGTGGAATCCAACAAGGGGCTCAATCCCACAACCCTGAGATCATGACCTGAGCTGAAACCAAGAGTCAGACACTTAACCGACTGAGCCACCCAGGCGACCAAAATTAATTCCGTTAAAGGAGACTAAAAAGACATGACAATGTAACACTTGATTCTGGATCAGATGCTTTCTTATAAAAGAAAACGTTGGGACAGTTTGCACAACTTGATCAGGGTCTACAGATGAGCTAGGAGTAAGAGATGAATGTTAATTTTCCAACTTAAGTGGTTTGTGAAGAGAATGTCTTTATTTGTACTGAAGACACACTGAAGTTTCTGGTGGTGATAAGGCATCATGTCATTTTACTCCAAATGGTTCAGAGAGGAAAGAAAATGTTCTTTGTACTTGGCAATTTTTTTATAAGTTCGTGAGATGAGTTTGAAACTTGTAAAAGCAATTTTTAAAAAGTCACCCTGCTCTGTCCTGCATCTGTCTCTCATTGCTTCTTTTCCAGAAAGTAAATTTCTTCTTCTAAGTAAGTGGAGATCTGAGTTCAAATCCTGGATCTGTCATTTACTGGGTTTGCGATGCTACATTGGCTTAGCCTCTCTGAGGCTCCCTGCCCCCCATCTTGTTGTCCATGAAAATACTTGCTTTCATTTTGGGATGTTAGAATGTTAGATTTGGGGAGAGTGTTTGTTTGTTTTTAATGGGGCTGATTGAGGTGATGCATAACAGCATCTAGCACCCTGTCTTATGGTAGATGTTCTGTAAAATGGTACCTGAAGGAAAGTCGAGCAAACTTTTGCTGTCTCTTCTCTTTCGTGCAATGGACGACCCGGTGATGTCTCAGCTTCGACATGGTTTCACCCAGCCTGCAACTTGATTCTTGCAGTCTTGGCATTTCTGGTTCCTATGGGGGGCCGGGGGAACGGTTGCTCACCTGGCTCAGCTTCCTGGCCCCAGGCCATGCAGGCCTCCCACATGCAGCGCAGGATGTTGGACCATCACCTTGAGGACCTTATGGTGGATTTAGAAAAGGTGCAGAAAGCAAAACATTTCTTAACCTGAGACTTCATCTTTGTCCTGGCCTTCTCTTGCAGGACAGAAGGGGACATCCTTGGGCTGCTCCGTCCCGTGGGAGGTGGGGTTTAAAGAGGGGTCAGTGGCGAACTAAGTGTGTCCTGTGAACAGATTTCTCTCTGATGCCTTAAAGCGGAAGCTGTCCTGCAGGAGTCCCTTTCCAAAGGGGCTGTGATTCCTGCCTATGCCCCATAGAGATGTAGGCGAGTGAAGGCTCCGGTCCACGGGGGGAGCCACTGTGGGACACGGGTCTGGCCTCTTCCACCAGACTGAAGGCTCTGGTTTGCTGCAGTCCTGTGAAGAGGAAAGCCCCAGAGGAAGAGGGGAGGCAGCTGCTCCTAGTGCCAGAAAGACAGGGAGAGCTTGCGTGGTGTGGGAGAGAGGAGAGAGCCCACAGAAGCTGCTGCCCGCCCGCCGCACTTCCAGTGTCTCAGTTAAGCCTTGCGGTCCTGTAGGCCATAGGTTATGGCCGTACTCAGGACAGACAGGTAAGTGA